AGGAGTTTAGGTTTTGAGTTATTTAATTTTTTGTACTAAGGATAAAAGTTCTACAATAATGAATTTGAAAGATAAAAAAATTATGTTTTAAATATTTTAGTACCTAATTAAATATTATATTTCTATGAACATATTTTAATAACCTATAAAAATGTATTGTCCTATAGTATAATAACATATTCTATGTCCAATATTACTTATAGAATTTTTTAATTCATATATATACCTATTTTAAATTATTGTTAAATCATTTTTAAAAGCAATTATCTTTAATATTTCAGAAACTAAATGTTTGAATTTCGATCTTATTATAATATTATAACATTTAAAAAAAAATCATCTGCTAATAAAGGTTTTCAGTATTAAAAAGGTTGGTTATTATTTTTAAGAACAAGTTTGTATTGCTACATAATATTCCTTAATTAGTATACAAATCCAAATAATTAAAAATATGATCCTTAAGTACCCTTTGAAGTATAAAAATTAAAATTTCTAATTAATACAGGAATAAATTGATTAGGTTGGTGAGTAAATTCGGTAGATTATCATTTATATGCACAGATTTTACATTATTTAAAAACAATATGTGTGGCGAGGGTGATGTATCAACATTTTTAATTATTAAAATGTGAAATTGTAATATATTATATTATATGTCATGACTCGCGGTGGAAATAATCGGCATGGCTGAATCTGCAGTGTGATAATATTTTTGACATTGTTTGGTTAAAAAAAAAAAAACAATTACATTTTAATTTATACTCAATTGTTACAGAATTCAAACAGATATTTTAAACGATATGCCCATACATCAAAATATTATACGTGATGTGTAAAAGTATACATGGTATGTAGTTTTTATAGTGACTAACAATAAACTAGATACTTTATACTAATACTAGAATATCAATTGTATGTAAATTGTCAAAGGATTATGATTTATCAAATTAAAAAAAAAAAATAAACTATTAATTTTGTTCGATTTAAATATTATTGCCATCCATCCACGTTTAATTTTAGTTGGTTTGATATATGCTCTACGATAGTTGTAAACGTATATTACGTATTTTTTATTTCATGATTCAATATCTGGACTTCTGCATATTATCCTTTGTCCGACGTTTGTACATCATGATAACAACAATAAAATCAGCAATACAGTGATAATGATTGGAACCACCTTTTAGTTTCAAGATCCAAAAACAAGAGAAATAGTAAAAAAAAAAGAAGAAAAATCATACTCACGTGTAAATGTCAAAAATAAATCCCATGTTTCCATTGTCAAAGGCCGTGAAAGCGGGTGAAGCACAGTAGGTACAGCGGCGATGAAAAGTCTGTCAATTATTATTTCAGTATTATACCTACGCGTGTCGCACCTTATATTATTATTATACACGTCGAGAAAAATAACGAGACGACAGTCACCCGCTTTCTCGTACACACGATAGTCGGGTCGTCCCGCGAGTATATATACGACCAACGATTCTGGAAAGATCAAACGAGCACGTCACACTAATATAATATTATGTGTAATAATAAAAAAACCTACCCACCTCGCCTACACCTGTCCCACCCTATCTACCTGTCTTTCGTTTGCCTCCTTTTATTTACCCTCGAGGGTTGTATTTTATAATGTATACACATCGTGCGTTTTCCGGAAACAAAAGCTCCGGCGGCGCGATCGCACGACTACATATAACAATACTGCAGTCAGTCGATTACCGAAATTCATTTGTTGAATTCGTTGACTCGTCGTTTCCGATTCTGGTCTTAAATTACAATAGTATAGTACAAGAAACGTGTACACCATTATAATATGTTATAGGTATCCTGAGAAGACAATCATACAATTTTATTGTTTTCAGATCGTTTGTAGAAGTTAAGCCAGTACTTCAATAAATACAAATAAAATATTTAAATGTGCTTGCAGAGTGATTCATTACACAAAGGGTGATTTCAAGTCAGCGACGACACTTTGATTATTGATCTGTCGTTACATCACAAAATAATTATGATTTTTAAAAACCGATTTTCATAAACCGTAATATTATGGTATGATAGAAAAGTATAAAAGACTTTTTTGACCCCGGTGTGCGTTTTTTTAAAATTTTTAGTATCATTTATTAAAATTATTTTAAAAAATATTTCATTCATTACCGTTAAGTTATAATCGGTAAATAATAGCGACTAATGACTAACAAAAATAATAATAATGTTTGTAAAAAAACAATTAATGTCGCTAGTAATAAATTCGATACCGGAAACACGGCATTATTCAAAGACAATGCGACGACGACTAAATTATATATTTATTTATGTAATAGTAAATTTCAGTTTAAAAGCTAATCCGTGGACGATGGGATTTTAAATTCGAATTGTTATGCATATATTTTATGCAAAACAATAAAATTGTCTCTAGAAATAGCGTTTTAGCCGTTTGCAGAAATTGCCTACACAGTTACATCGATATTGATCGCGAATGGTTTAAAATAATTGTTTTTGAACATTATACTACAATTCAATATATTATTTTAGGATATTTTATGCTTAGTTTATAAACTGTCTAATACATATTACAATATTATAACAATATAACAATATGCGTACGTAGGTAAATAATATCAAACGTTCAGCTCATTTTTTTTATCAAATTATATCATACTTAGAGGTACTTGAGACATATAATGTAAATATTATTTTAATATGTGTAGATCATTATATGAAATCAAAACAGTGTAGATAATATCCAAGTAACTGCAAGGTCTGACATAAAATATTATACCTAAAGATAACAGTGGAAGTGAATGAAACGTTCAAATACTGTTTATACAGTACCAAAATTATCCATATTTGAGTAAAAATTATTTATTTTAATGTGCAGCACATAGAATATTATTCTGCATCAATTTTTCAATGAATGGCGTCGATTTTCGTCCGGTTTATAATTAAAGGAACGCGCGTGGCTTTGACGTTTGGATTTTGGACAACAATATAATTTAATTATTAATATTTTCATTGATTTAAAATATGCCGTATACTATACATCATTACTAACAGTGAATTTATTATTTTAGTTGTGTCGATTAACATTTCAAAAGAAAGTAATTAAATTTATTTTCATATACTTTGCAATTAATATAATAAGAAATGTAGTCACGGTGGCAGGCAATTCGTTAGTTGTAGTAATAATAATATTGCAGTATTACCTATGTTTTATACAATTGTAAGGTGTAATATAATTATTAAAATGTAATGTCATCGAATTTTTAAATAAATATTACAGTCATATTTTATGATAAAAATATACTATGGCAATAATATAATATGACATTATAACGACTAGAATAATTTAAATTCTTTAAAATAAATATACATATACGATATTAAATCATAACAAAATACAGAATTATAATATACAAGCAATTTAAATAGAATATTATAACGATTTCATATTAAAGACGTTTGGTTTGGTGTATACGGTTATTTAATGTTTCAAGCAATAATTTAAAATGGATATAACACTGATCGAATTTAAATTAGTTTTAATGGAGTTGATATTTGATTTTTATAAAAAAAACCATTTGAACTTCTCACATAAACCTCTTAATTTCTTAACCATGCAGTGGTATGGAACGCTCAAAATTATTTATTAGTTTATTAAATATTATTATGGTTCTCCAGAGACTCCTCGCAATTTTTTGTCACTATCGTGTAGATTAAATTACACACGTACGGTTCTGAATACATTTGGTTTTTAGAATATAATTAAGATAATTGATACTTATACATGATTTTTTACGACAACATTATTATATTGTTATATAATATATTCACACGACTACACATAGTACACAGTATTATATAATATTGATAAATGTTTATAAAATGTATATTATTTATAGATAGTATATTGGGTCGGGGAAAGTTTGGAAACGCATTTCAATATTATTTGCACACATAGTTTTAAATTTGAATGCGTAGTTTTTCAAACTTTCTAGTCACAATAGATTATTTGTGTATCTATGTGCATTATATCTGTACACAAACGACGAACACGGCGCATTTAACGTCAGTCATTATAAAATATAATATAAAACTCTCCTGTATTTATTCCAAGAATTTATCGAATAATATGTTTTTATTTTGAACACGTAGGCAGTCAATAAATCAACCGATTCTAATTAGTTATAAAATTACAAACTTTTACAAAACTATTTTATTTGATTCTACTTATACAAATAATTACTGTTTCAAATATGCGCATATAGTTATTTTAAACAACAAAGATATTTTCATCCTAACTCTATTTCATAGTTTCATGTCACACGAAAATATTATCGAAAATATGACAAAATTATTGTCAATTTATTAGTAACCGATTTTTTTCGCCGCTCAAAACTCAAAATTTATTTAGCGAAAAATAATAGATGGGTAATTACAATAAGTAGTAATTAGGTATTGTATATCTATATTCGCATCAATAATAATATCTATATTGCAGTTTAATATCGGCACATATACCTAGATTTTATAGCTTCAAAATTGAGTTGTTGAAATGGAATGTACCGTTATCTTATGATTAAAATCGATTTTAAAAGGGTATTTATTGCAAAGAAATACGATATTATACGATTTACTTTACGACTGTTATCGTGAGAAGACATGGACATCTAATTATCATTTAGGTCATAAAGGTACATTAATATATTAGAGGCAATTATGATAATTTAAAAACTACAAATGGTTTTCAATTATAATGCACTTACTATCATATCATATATGTTCTACTACGCTAATTATCGTCTTGCAGGCATACTGACCATTATCGGACATATCGGACACCACAGTCGAATGACGATTTCAATACAGTTTGCTTACCGTTCTAAGTCAAATAAATGATAGTGAATATGTTTCTAGTACTATTGCGATCCGTACTATTCCTGTTTGCAGCGCACGCGGTCATCTGCACAGCTATTGCCGGTCGGAGCCATAATCGGCACGTGAGTTTTTTAGATTCGCTTCACTTGTTCCCACGACCAGCGTATTTACCGATTATGCCTTACTACGAGGTCGATATTCCACAACAGGAAGGAAAATTTTTCGGCGTAATGGCAGCCACTCGATATGAAACCGTGAGTATAACGTTTAAAGACTACAAATGGTCGGGTTGATCGTAGTGGTGTTTATTGACGTTCATATTAGACGGAGATATTCCATAGAACGCACTTCAAACAGTACTTGTATAAGTTGATAAAACAACGAAATATTATGATCATTATTGAGCTGGAATTACAACCGAAGTTTGAAATATAAATTGTTTCATTCCGATGATATGAAATTGTTCGTATATTGGATTTTTGAAGTTTGTGTAAATAAATATGATAAACAGTATATATTCATTAAACACACATTTGTAGTTTATTCGCAAACATGTTAGATATTGTATGCTTTTATGCATGAATTTCAAATTTTTTGAATAATTTTGCTTATGTTACTGTCTTGGAAACAGTATATAATAACATCAATGACAGTGCATGATTAATAAATATATCATATATTATAATATATACCTATTGTATTCTATATCGATTTCCGAGTGATCCATGTTACGGAAGACACTTATTATTTTAAAAACTATTGATGTTTTTGAAATTTTTTTTTACTTAATTTTAAATCATTAAAAAGAATATTTTTAATAAAAAATTTAGTATTATACCTTTTTTACACTAAACTACCGTCATTTTTTTGATAGTTAATAAATAAAAGAGTTTATTAGTTATGACCATTTAAAGTTTTTTATTTTACTGGGTATATCTGTTATACACTCCATTTGGCTCATCTTAATTTTAAATACTAATAATTCACAAACTATCAATCTTGAATTTAATTTTTAATACATCGAAGCACGTAAAAAAATAAATCTGTTATGTAAAAATGAATTAAAAATAAAAAAAATCATCAAAAAAATTTCTCTAAAAAATCATTTTTGTATAACAGATTATTTTTAGTGTACTTTGATATATAAAAATCAAATTGTAAATTGGTAGCTTGTGAATTATTAGTATTTAAAGTTTAAATAAGTGAAATAAAGAGATATAACAGATATACTCCGTAAAATGTTTAACTTAAAGTAATAATAACTAATATACTACTTTACTTTTTTATTATCAAAAAACTGACGATAATTCAGCGTACAAAAAGATATAATACAATTTTTTATGAAAATTTTATTTTTTTAACGACTTAGAACTATGAAAAATATAAATATTTTCAAAAAAGTAAGTATTTTTAGAAACAATGGATCACATGATATATATATATATATATATATATATATAGTACTATACAGTTTCAGTCGCGCTTTGAACACAAATTTGAAAATGACATGTCGTTATATTATTATGATTATTACCTGTAGTACTATATAATAACACTATACGGTTCCTGTCCGATTAGTCGCGGCGAGGGGCACGGGATGATTTCACTTTCGTGTCCAAGGATCAAGGCCGATCCGGTGGTGATCCACCGAAAATCAATAATCAAAAACGTGATCCGATCCAGTCACGGATCTTTAAAGCGGCCGTTACATAACCGCTTAATTCGTTTGTTGACACAACGATAATAATAACAATAATGAGCATTTCAGATTACTGTCAGAGAAACCGTGCGTCCGGTATGCTTGTATGTTGATGGGAACGTGCCGTCTTGCGATCACGTGATCCACAGCAATCATAAGAACCGCCCGCAGAAAGTTCCTGGACCAGCCAATTCTCGGCGTCCACCGGTCGTCGATTATGAGACGTATTTCATTGAACCTAGCAAACCGAATGCGAAAATCGAGTGAGTCTCTAACAAAATATCATCAATATCACGATAAATTAATTGTCCCTTAAAAAATATGTTCAGATTTCAAAATGATAAATTGTTTAATAAAGTAAAATAGTGAATATCATTACACTTTAAAGTTAAGTCAAGTACCAATCAAAACAGTAGATTATCACTTATCAATCAGATGTTTTTACATTAATTAATGTCTACGAATGTTCAATATGTCTCATTTATCCCCCGCCCAGCGATGATTATACGTCCGGAACGATAACCAAACTAGTGTCAGAGGTGATAGAAAAACTGTAGAAACTCATCTGGTTTATTTGACAACTGATAAACCATACTAACTACAACAAAAACCGATAATGATTTTTGAAACTCGGATATTTTTATTAAATACATTGTATTAATATACGTATAAAACATAAGGTGTTAATACACATTACATAAAATAACGATTATTAATTTAAACATATTGTTTCGCATGGTCTTGTATGATGTTGGGTTAAATAGTCGAAAACAAAAATACTAAATTGTATCATAATATAAAATAAAATAAATCCCCGTTTCTGCAGAACTATATGAAACGCAATTATAGTGGGCATAGGTATGCATACTATTGATTCGAGTTACGCAGTATTATATAGCTATAAGAATAAACCGAAACAAGAGTGATGGCTATTTATGGAATCGCGGCTAGAAGTACAGAGTGTACGTCCGATTCTAAGCGGAATTCAGTACATCCGATCTCGTAATTTACCGAAATAGCTGCTCGTATGGTACCAATAATGAGGCTATAATCGAGCTACATAATCCATCATATAGGTACGCTTTCACTTGTTATTACATTAAGAATGCCGTACAAGGACATGTTCAAACGTGATTTCATCAGAATTCTGAGGATTTAAATTGCCCCGAACTTATGAATAAAATAGGTGTACTTTATTCTTTGCGATATGTTAGTTTCTCTGTTAATTTACCAAGACTCAAGATTTCGACAGAGTTTTCATAAACTATTAAAGTCTTAAAAATTTTAAATTGTCTAACGAAAAACTCATTTCAATGCGCAATGGATAGCTAGGAAGTATTTCGTGCTTATAAACTGACCAAAGAGTATTACTAGTAATTAATAAATAATTACTTTTAGCCAGTAAAAGACGTTTTTGAAAAAAAATACTATATGACTTATTATTTATTAAAAAAAGAAAACCTATCAAATTTTAATGTATTTCATTCGAAAAAATAATGGTATAAATCAGCGGTTCTCAAACTTTTTATTTCGCGCACCATTTAAGTATATTATCAATCAGTCGCGTACCATTGATGATTAAAAATCCTACGACCATGCGGCCTTCCGCAGTTCCGCGTACCATCATGTAGTCTTTCGCGTACCACAGTTTGAGAACCGCTGGTATAAATAATTATCACCCATGAGTCTACCCTCTGATTATATTTGTTTTTTACCTGATATTGATACGAGTACGATATAAAAATAATTACAATACTGTATTTTAATATGAATCACACATAATGATATTATGTTTTTTTCTTTTTTTTTGGCAATAGTAGACTTTCAAGCTTGATATACTATGCCTATACTGTACTGCGCCTGTATTAAAATCGTTCAGTGTGTTGGCTCTTCTGTCCCACATCCAGCAACATAACTTTAATGTGTGAACAGTGTTCACTGAACACATAAATTTATTCGAGTACATTATTGTGATTATTTCATTTGTTGTGTTCACACGTTTACATAATACATTATATTATATGGTATCATATGTATTATTTAACAAAACGTATCGTTCTCTCCTGCTAGAGTAGATCGTATACGTGACGTTAACTTTTAATCAAAAAAGTTAAAAACGAATTAATGCGCGTAACGATAAAACTACATTATTACTACACACACGCACATATTATTATATAATATATAGATCAGGGGCACAGCTTGTGGGCGGACGTGATGTGTGCGAGTAAATTATTATCATTCACCATTTGCAGAGTGTACGCGGCAGACGAAGGGATGCCACCCTTATTTCTAATATTATACGAGCGCGAAAAACCGATAACGTCCGAAGCTATAACAGCGTTATCGTTATTTTAAAATAATATAACTTTCAGCGTAATCCGATACAGCTGGCCTTCATCGATACGTCATTACTGCTATTATAGATTATATACCGTTGTCCATCAATCGGGTGAAACGCGGTAGACATTTTTCTTACAGCCAAAGCTCAACAATTGTAAGGGGGAAGAAAAATATATAGATTTAAATAACCACTGCTTCGTACACATCAATGTAGTATACGAAATATACGTAACAGTATTATAATTATTTACATACGTTTTTGAATAACCGTTATACATTTTTGTGATTTACATACAATTTTACACATACAAGGGTCAAACGAGGACACCGTCGGGTCACCCACCCTTTGATTTACATGGTCGTGTATACTGTATAGTGTGTTGTATGATCCGTATATCATTTTAATTCGTAATACGATGGAAAATCATTTGAAAACAAATAAATAAAACAAGTTATAATGCGTATACAATTAGTAGACGTACTACAATTTTATGTCTGTAGAAATAGTTTTGAATATGTGCCATTTTTATTTGGTGAGACCAATTTAGACGGAAATGGTTCTCGGCTATTCGCATAAGTTATGTAATTGCACTATAAGATTATTGTATTGATACAAAAATGAGATGCTAGTGTACGCGTTCTTTTATTCAATAGTATAATATTATAAAATATCAACATTTTCATAAAATTGTTCATTTATTTTTCTTTTACTTTATTTTTGGGCGTAAAGTAAGAATTTTATTTAGAATAAATGTCATTATTGCTTTAAGTTGATTCGAGATCGATCGATGTATAGGTTATGTACAATTAGTTAAGTAATTATGTGATCAGCCATTTTTTAATTTTTGTGAATGAAGAGAATCTATTATCAATAGTTAGATCCCAGCTAAATTTTTCTTTAATTCGTAAAAATAGATATCGTTTTCAATTTTTCTTTTAAACTTTGAACAATAAAATTATATTAATCTGTATAATATATTCATGACTTGTAAATATAATTTTTTTTTTTAAACGCCCTGGGGCTTTATTATTTAAACGACCCGAAGGTCTTTATAAATATGTTTAACAATTATATATATTTTACATACTAGATATAAATTATATATACTTTACATTTTGATGGAGTAACTTCCAATGAAGTTGCTCTTGCCTTAATCTTAAATCTTAAACTAAGTCGTATGGTTTCAAACGCTTAAGGCGTCTGATGTCCTTGGAGTTATCTAATAATTGGATGGCCAATGGATTGACATGGTGATCTAGCCTCGTCTCGTGCTTGCGAGCAAACCTTTGGATTTCGTTTGCTATTGTAGGCAGCATCATATCACGGTGAATTCACGATTCGAACCATCACTGCAGCCTACCGGTTTGAAAGAAATATCATTTGACACACTATATATTATGCATACATGACTCGTATGGATTGTATGCGAGTTCTTTTGATTTTGAGTTTATGATGTATGAAAATACATCACATTATGAACAATGCAGGATTTTATTAAATTGTATCGATAAATTATGTTCGATAGACGACTGTCGTCCTTTACCTTAAGTTACTATTATTTCCTTTATTTATTTTTTTTTTACTGACACGCATACTATTTCATTGCGTCGTCAATAGTATTAAACATTAATCAAATACGCCTATAGCCATAAAAATGGTATATCCCATAATATCTTTAACGAAATCCGTTTCTGAATCGATACATTTTTAAAAATAGGTAAATAAAACGATCTGTCAGCGTAGTTACAAAACTACTCGCTTCACTACTCGTAGCGGTTTTATCAAGTACGGTTATATGTTGTACTTATAGTATATATATCGTAAGTGTATAATATATTATATGTATTACATTATTATATTATCAGACGTGAAATGCCATGACAGTAACTACCAATTCTGTAATAAAACGAAACCCACCCTTACGGAAACCTTAAAGTAGTATTGACATAATTTCAGCGAACGTGAGTGATATCGGTAACACTTAGAGGTTTCTCCGTGACAATACCTACCTATATATAGTGTAATACGTTTTATAAAACCGACGAAATCGACGTTTACAGGATAACCGAAATACCATACAGGGGCGCGTTCCTGTTGACGGACGCTACGGTGGAGGCGGACGGTCAACTTCAAGCAGCCGAAGAAGACGCGTCCGAGGCGGTGGGCCACGAGACGCCGGCGCTGCAGCAAGCCGTCCGGCCAGTGGCGGAGGACGTGCAGGAGCGGCGCACCGCCGCTGCCGCGCACGCGGACCGACGGCAGCTTCTGCAGAACGCGTTCGGAGCGGCCAGCGCGGCCGTCGCCGCCGGCGTGGCCAACGTGGGCGGCGTGGTCGGCATGGCCGGCGCGGTGGCCAACGCGGCCGTTGGCCGGCAGCAGGTCACCGTGTACGTGACGCGCGTGGACCGCGTGGTCGACGATCGGATCACGGCCACGCTGGTGCCCAAGAACTGCATGCCCGCCCGCGTGGACGCGTTGAGGCGGTGCAACGGCGCGGTCGATCCGTACTCGGCCGCGCTTCCGGAACCCGCGTACATGCTGCCGCAGCAGCCGGCGTACATGCAGGACGAGCCCGCCGTGGCCGTGGACATCGTGTCAAAGGTCGGCGGCCTCGTCCGGGACTTTGTCCACGCTCAGTCCGTCGCCACGGGCGGCGGCGGTGGCCTGCGCCGTTACCGGCGTGCTCCCGAAACCGACGTCATCGCTCGACAGCCACAATAATAATATAGCATATTAATGGTGGCGCGCCGCCGAAGCGGTTGTACACGCCGCGCGAATTTCACATTATTATTATAATATTTTATTTATTAAAGAAAACATAAAATTTTTTTCTAGACGATATAGTTATGGCGATTTAAAAATTTGTTGTCTCCGCGTCTTGCCGTCTCGTAGAGCACAAACTATTATAATATATGGCGCTGAGTTAATATAATATCTCTGGTGTCGCATAAGTATTGTTATGTCATATTATCATATTATATTATTAGTAAACAATAAACAGAATATCTACGATTACTATAATAATCATTATTGTTTTTAGGATGTGTTATTCGCCAAGCGTGCTCCTTGTCGTTATAATATAATATATTATGTTACTCGTATAATAAATAAAATAATATCCGTAGGCGGATGATTTTGTACGGCCGTACGACTTTCTGCATGCATCTCACAGGCCCAGCAATAATTCCAGCACCAATCACAACCCAGGATAGGCATGCACCACTTCGACAGAATCGTGGTGTATCAAAATATTGTATTATTATCCGGTTTTAGTGTCGACGTCCTTACTACCGCCCCCGTAGAGCGTTCGTCCGTTAGAAAAAACGAAAATGAAAAAATGAAAATAAAAACCTAAACCGAAACTCTTGGAAAGGGTTAGTGGAAGTCCATATTGTATACAACGACGATATAGGACAGGCTGCAGTATTTGCAGATCTATAGCAATAATATACGGTAGGTAGTACATCTGTCGTATACGATCGTTATGCTATATATATAACTTTTACATACAGCCACAGCAGCTCATTATATATTCACTCGGGCGAATACGACCCCGCCATCGAAAACTTTGTGAAATATACCCTATATCCTCCGATGTATATGAGTGGGTTGTCGGGGTGAAGGGAGTGGCCGTGGTTGTGGGAACAAAAAACAAATAATAATACCCGAAATTTCGATATATTTGTATATGGACAACTGAATGCTGAATTCAAAAACTCTCACACAGTTTCCCGGTACACCTATATATAATATAATATTTTTGCTTATACGTCTTATGTTCCGCGCATGGACCTCTAAATTATAATAAAAATGTTTCGTTGTAATGAATTGATATTACAGGGGAGGCTAAATCAAACGATCAACTGCGATCTCCTGCGTTCGATATAACGGTATAATATTATGTTGAAAACCAAATTTTTCGAAAACCCTAAGCAGATATTTGTATAAGCATTTTTTTCAATACCTAATTGTTCGACAAGGAATGTAATAAATAAAGAGAGTAAATATTGTTCGACGAAGAAGATTTATTTTATTTTTCTGAAATGTTATTTATACTCTTTAAACAAAATATTTATTTTTTTTTTTATCATAACAAAGATAATAATAATATGACGTCTGATCTTAGTTCATTTTTGATGGGAAATAAGCGGAGGTCGGACAAAAAATATGAAGAAGTCATTTATAGATACAAAATTATGTTATTTATTTCTAAGAAAACTCATTGAAATTTTAATGTTTGTTTAGTATTTTTCGACTTTATTAGAGGTACATCAAATAAATTTTTACTGGCTAGTCTTAGTACGGTTGCCAATCATAAGTTATTATATTTACTTTCTTGTACACGATAGTCGAAAGCACACAATAACTTCAAAAGTATTAACTAGTCATGTTGAAAGTCTGTGTTAATTTTTTACTATTAATATTGTTTTTTCTGTTTTAATATAAATGATTTTTTTTTTTTTTAATTAAAATTTTTTTTTTTATGAGTAGCAGACGATCATTATATTTTATGGTGAAAAACATTGTAAAATTGTTTATAGGCACTACATAAATTATAGCCTTTACTCTCTAACATTTCAATGTTAGAGAAATATTGTCAAGACGAATCTAATGTGCATTATTGTTTTATATTTTCATATTGTCTCTAATTATTGTATAGTATAATACTGTACTATTAGTACTTAATAAACATCACTTCATTGTGATAATGACATCTTCATCATCACACTATAAAGAGTATAGAGTACAATTGTACATGAATAAATGATACACGAGACGATTTTCACAAGTTACTTGATAATAAACAACGATACTTGCTGATATCGTATACGTATATACAGAAGCAATACACTGTTAAGTGTTGAAATTATAGACGATCGTGAAACAAATTTCACAGAGAATACCTAGATTAGTTTTAACTTTTAACTGCGGTCGTGTTTCAGTATACTATCACAATATTATGGGCATAACTAGGAAGTGGGCTTAAAGATCTATAGTATTTCCAGACTTAAAATTAGCACTTTCAATATTTTATACAAAGATATTAAATAGTAAACATTTTTTTTCCCGAATTTCAAATTTCAATTCAATATTTTAGCATTCATATTTTGAAATATTTATTATTTTAGAATAATTATAGAATGATTTTATAATAATAATGTTTACCACAGTTCATATTGTCAATTATTATTAAAAAACAACAAAAAAGACGGTCTTCTTACTTTTATAAATCATTTCAAACAAGGTTGTAACTGAAAAACATTTTGGAGGAAAGAGGGCATTATTTTTAAATACCCTTTTCTTTTAACGTACAAATATAAAACCTCTTTATTTTCGTTATTAAAAACATAACTCGTCATTCCAATAATGAATTTACAGTAAAATTAATAATTTATACATTACACATTTTGACTACTTAAATTAGTAAAATATTTCTATCTTTTTGAAGAACAATTTATTTAGTATTTCTTCTGGATTCACTTTAATACTTTCATAGACACTTAATAAGGCTAGGTCATTTAATTAGTTTTATCTAAAAACGTTGCATACAATTTTTTCGCTCGTTTCCACGTTGATAGTGTTCTATCAGACGTTGCAGTTGAAACTGGAAATAACTAGTATCTTGATTTCAACCTTAATAATTATTTATTCGTTTCCTGAATTTAACAATTATTTTATTTTCATTTTGATTCCAAATTTTTAGTTTGCATAATAGATAATAAATCTATATTTATTTGTTTTTGAACAGAGGTGATATTATCAATCTAAAATAAATAAAAAAATATTATTTAAGTGATATATAGTGTGATAATTATTAGGTAAAATAATGAATTTGTAATATTTCCATTTTATATATTAATAAATAGTACAATTTTAATTTATCTTTTGACGTTTCGTAAAATCATTTTGTATTTAAATTCTTTTACTAATTTTCAAAAATGTATGTTGATAAAATCAACAGTAAAATAAACGTTAGAAAAGAGTTCTTTAATACACTTTACAATACTACAATCGTTAGTCATAATTTTCTTAAATAATTTGATTTTTGTACCCAACCTTCATTTTTATAGGTTCAGATAATTGGCAATATCTGTGAAAATCACCTATTATTCTCTTTTGTATGTAATATTTTACTAACTTATATTTTATCTATTAATCCTAATCTAAAATTACGACGTCGAAATAATAAGATGAAATGTATCATTTTATACTATTTTTAGAATTTAATTAATATTTTAAGAATAATATAAAATTATTCTTAAATATAATTTATTCAATAAACTATATTAATTACTAAAATTTTTCTACTTTTAAAAAATTTCATGAGAAGAGGAGTCCGGGTGTTGATTTCAAATTACTATCATACGTGAGTACAGTTTTTTTAAACATGTTGTGAATTGGAAATTAGTTAAGGATGTGTATATTACAACAATGGTTTATCTATTTTAAATATTTAACAAAGTATTATAAGAATTTAAATATAATCTAAATTCAGTTAGTTTTAGACAAACACGTACACTTTAAAAATAAGAAAAATAGTAAAATATTAAATAATAGAAATTGGAATCTACATAATATATTTATTACTAATTTATTATGTTCTTTTTTATTACTATTTAATAGATTTATCAGTGTATATAATATGAATTTGTAATAAAGAGAAAGATATACCTATAGAAAAAAAAAATACTAATATACAAATAATATAATAAATACTGAATTTTTTTTGTAATTTATAGCTAGTTTTTTTTTTTTTTTTTTTTTTAAGGACCCTTGGGTAAAAGTTAATTGATTTGATCGGTATTTATTAGCTGTTGAAAATTTTAAAATAGTAAATCATTCATTTTTATAATGGTATTTACAATATTAAATGTATTAATAATAGCGCATAAATTAATAAATTATAAATAAGTTTAATATAAAAATGATAAGGTACAGTTTCATAACGCAATTGTAAACGGAAATCATAGATAAAGGTAGAAGTTAGTTACATAGTTTGTTTCAGTTTTGTTTATACATATATTTTATGTCATTAAAATATTAAATAATAAGAAAAAAAGTAAATTATAATTATAAAATGTTATTCTTTAAAATAAATTCAGTTAAAATAATTATAGTAATCATGTATTTTTATGTTTGTTGTGCATTTTAAATAATTATACTTATTATTTCTATATCTATGGCTACACAGTATAAAATATAATCTGATCGGTTTTCTCTTACAAATTATTTTATTTTATGCATTATATTATCTCTCAAGTTTTACTTATGGCATTACACATAGGTAAAATGGTTTGGCTGTAATTAGATATTTATTTTAGATATTGGTTTTTCTATATTATGGTGAATCATAAAAATATAATAAACAATATCAATAGAAATGAAAACTTTTTAAATTGTAACTTTTATTTGAAACAGAAAGAAAGAAATTAATAAATAAAATAAAACTTTACTTAATGTTTTTAGAAAAATAATCTAAGTCAATAATTATTATATGTTTATACAAGCCATAAAATATATTTATATATATGATGAACAATTTTAGTGTACATTTATTATTTTCTACTGACAAGCTACTAATGCAGTTAAACTGTACTTTTAAATGTTCTTTCGAATAAATAATAATGCAAGTAGTTTATGACTTTATTAGAAAATAATAAACGTTATTTTATAATATTTGTTTTAAAAATTGTACTGTATTATATTATATTTATGAACAA